TTGGAGCGCCTCGATTTAATAAATCGACATTGTACTCTTTCACTGCAAGTTAATCCCAGCTCGTTTGCGTTGTAAGATGTGCTATCTAATACTGTGTTGATATGGTGTCGATTATAGCACTTCGGCATTATTAAATAAAGGCGTATACTCTCTGTGCAATATCCAGGTTGTTACTCTTGATAAAACAGCTATTGGATTTTCATTTCTTTTGTAATCTAGGGTCCAGGGTTGCATAGTAATTTCTGCCACCTTCTTAGGTTCTTAATAAAATGACTTACGCATTAGTTCGATCTTTCCTGCCAACACCGGTATCTCTTCCCGATTCTGTGGTCGGCTGATTCCTTTGGATTCCAAGCTGCAGTCTCTTTTGACTTGACACTTTAATTAAGTCATAAAACTTCCTATCTATCTGCACAACACACCGATTAGAAAAAAATATTAAAAAGCGATTAAAAAGCCACGAGTTTTTTAATGAATGAGTGCTTTAAGTCTTATGAAACGTGTTTTTTATGCTATTTTTTGTAATTCGCGTTTTTATACTTTTTTTTAACAAAAATAAAGTAAATTTTGACAATGTAGGGAAATAGCTATGTAGCAGTTGGTAACACCGGAACACTTGAAAATAGAAACTTTGAATTGACAATTAGAAACTGTCAAAACACAAAATATATTCACCTGAAAAAAATGTTTGATGTACACCTCCCAAAATAAGAGAAATTGCTCAGAGTCAATGTCCTCATCATTGTGGACCTTGTATTCGATGCTAAGAACGTGTTTAAACATCCATAGACAAAAATTGTCACATTGACAACTAGAAAAATTAATGACCCAATGTCACCAACTTGAACTGCTTCCATGAAATGTTACTAAAATCTCATTACAGCATCGGATGCTGTAAGGAGTCTCATTACAGCACCCGTTTGAGTACTGTTATAGCTTCCATTACCGTAGCGAATTACAAAAAGGACTCTTTCGTTTGATTAAGTTATAAATATATTTTGATGCAAATCATTACTTTATTTCGTAAATGTTTTGAAGTAATTAATCGAAAGCCAAGGTTGATTGCATTAATTAATTTTTTTATAAATCATTTTAAAGTAATAACTTAATAATTTGGAAAATATTGCGTAATAAATTTTTAAAAAAATGAATATTTTGACAGGATAATTTTTTAATTAATTACTACCGCAATAAATGGAAATTTTATAATCGCTTCCTCTCCACTTTTTACTTTGCCTCCACTTTATTTTTAAGCGACAGGTTAGTTGTTATCCCACCTTGAAAATATTTTATAGTAAGTACTTTTAGTTGAATGAGCGAGTGAGTGAGGGAACGAAACGAACGATCGACGAAACAGGATTCAGTTCGGTTTTGAACTCGGTGCGGTTGAGACGTGTTGTCATTTTTTGCGGTGTTACAACATAAGTTTTTGGGATTTTATGAATTGAGGGGTTGCAAATTTAGATTTTTTTATCAAAAAATAAAATGAGGGGAATCGATTGGATTTTGGGGTTTTCTTAACAAAAAATATAAGTCATTTTTTTTGAATAACGATGGCTGAGTCATCCGGTTTAAGTACTTTGGTGGACAGTTGGGGGGACTATGGTATCGAGTTGGAATGTTTGCAAGGTAGTGAAGGTGAGCTACATTGAAAAAAAATACCTAACATTTTTTAGGAAATTCGTTTTATTTTTTGATGCGAAACAATCCTTTTTTAATTAAATATGATGATAAAAATATTGTTCTAATAGAGTAGCGCGATAAATTTACGTTGGTTTTTATTATTAGATAAGATTAATAACCATTCCTATTGTAGATGATTTATCTCGAGTTTTTTTGCCTCTTTTTTATTTATTTTGATATTTATTAAATTATACATCAAAACAGTTATTTTTCTTACACCTTTAAAGTGAAAGGTAAATTAATAACACTTAAGAAACATTAACTTTTTATATTAAAAAAATAAATTAAAGTTTATGTAAATTTGAGCTGATTCATTATCTAAAATTAGTGATAAAAATAATGAGGAACTTTTTCTTTAACGATTTTTTTTCTTGTTATTTAAATATTGGCATAACGGAAGAGACTTCTCCTTATATAACATTAAAAGTAGCCTCCGGCTACCTTATTGTATGTTTGTTGCAGTCGGCTTGTATCTTGTATAGCCTAAATTTCACTCGAAGGAATTCTATGCACAGTTGCTATTGAGGTCGTTTTCATTGCGTAACGTAGAGTTACTCGAAAATTAATGTTCAATTCGACTCCGACAAGTTGATGATGTTCAAACATTTTTTTCTTTAATCGCTTTTTTTATAGTATAATAAATTTTTGTACTATTGACCCAATCACGCCAGAAACGAATTACAAATTACACTTTATACCCTTTATAGATACAAGATTATTAAATTTTTTTATTCACCTCGGTGAAGTACTTGATGATTTTTATCTCTCTCCTCTAACCTATTGTACTTTAACACTTTTTTAACTAAATTTGTTTTTATATTTTAATCGATCAATTTTGTAATTAAATAAAACGTAATTTATTTTATTAGATTTGGTTAAATTTATAGATAAATAATTTAAAAATTATATAAAATATACAGTGCGTAGCAAAAAGATTTATACGATGGATAAAATGCGGTTTTAAGTGGGACCTACTTAGATATCCAACTTAATGTATTCAAATAGAAGTGATCATTTTGCAAAATTACATAGAAATGCTATTAAAACGAAGTTTCCTTGTAATTAACATTTATTAATTACATAATTTTTTTATATACTTCCGTTTGTATAAACGTCGCAATGTTGAGAGAAACTGGCATCTGAAAACCGTGTCATTTGAAAATATTCTACTCATGTTACATTAATACATGGCTAATTAAAAACAGAAGTGATCCAAGAAACACTTAGTTATTATTAAGATAAATTATTCCAATGATTCATTTAAAACAGCTAGTTAAAAAAGATTATCTTGTTCCTTTTCTAGTTATTTCCACATATTACCTAACAATTAAATTTTTTTACTTTTAAATTAATTCTGTGTGCCAAAGAGATGTTTATATTAGAAAGTATGTGTTGTAAAGGTTTAAAAGTTCGCAGTAATACATAGAAATGAAAGATGTATTAAATTCCTTATGGGGATACATAAACAGTTAATACTTGCGTTATGTTACATTCCATAAACGCAATATTAAATCCATTATCTTTTAAACTATTATTTCTAGTCAAAGAACAATCTGATAACTGGTTCGAACCGATTTAAGGCAATTAATAAAATTAAAGTGAAAAAGGAATTGTATCTTATACTTATTACACACTTATTGGAAGAATTAAGAGTAGTAAAAATAGAACCTATTAAATTTGGTTCATGCTGCCTTTCACGTTCAACGATTTTACCTTTTTGCTTTAAAAAAATGTTCCCATTTATCGTCTCTCATTGCTTGACGTGCATTTATAATGTATTTCTTTCCCATTTCAATTTGAATACTTGCTAAAACGTTTCTTAAGACGGCTGGTAGTGCTAGTTAGCATAAAATATCGCTATGATACATATTTTTATTGAACTAAAACTAGAACTAACACTAGATCTGAAACTAGAAACATTCGGACGCACGGCTAAACCCCATTTTTCTAGTTCTAGCTCTAATGTTAGTTCTAGTGACAGTGCAAGTGTAAAACTAGAACTAACACTATACCTAGAACTAGAATCCTTTGGGATTAGCCGTCTTTAGAGACTTGCGGCTAAGCCCAAATGATTCTAGTTCCAGGTATAGACTGGTATAGTATTAGTTGTACATAGTAAGAGTGCTAATGTAAAACTAGAACTAACACTAGACCTAGAAAGCGTTTGAAGACGCACGGCTAAACCCGAAACTTTCTAGTTTTAGTTCTAGTGTTAGTTCTAGTTTTAATTGTTGTACAGTGCTAGATTGCTGTATATTTTTATTGGACTAACACTAGACCAATAACTAGAATCACTCGGGTTTAGCCGTACGTCTCTTCAGACGGCTAAACCCAAATGTTTCTAATTCTAAGCCTAATGTTAGTTCTAGTGCCAGTGTAAGTGTCAAACTAGAACTAAAACTATACCTAGAACTTGAACCATTTCTCCCTAAAACCACTAGACTAACCCGATACTTTTTATATACTTTTTAATATTTTATTAACACTATTTCTTTCTTTTACTTTGGACAGGTAATTTTCTATTTATATGTTACATTATAAACATAGACAACCAACATTACACCTCAAAAAAAATCAATTTTTTTTAAATCTCATTATTATTGATTAAATAATTGTTTAAAAACTTCATAAAATAATTTATAATTTTAATTTGTTTATTATTATTAGTAAATAATAAGTTTCGAAAAATATAAATTGATGTATTTAGGAGGAAAACGAAAACAAAGTTATCTATTTTATCGACATTAATAACTCGAAATGACAGTTTCATATCAATTTCTAACCTTAAAATTGCTATAAAAAGTCAAAAAATTAAACTTTCCCTTTTAATTGTTTGTTTCAAATCAACTTCCACCGGATTTAATTAAAAAATAAAACTTAAAAAAAATAATGATAATAATTTGTGAGATAGAAAGCATTCTGGAAGACTTTTACTTTCCAAAAAATTAATTCACATCGCGATAACAATATCCTTTTTAACGATTTTATCTTAACTCTAATATGTTATTTCCTGTTTGAAATAATATCTCGTTTTGGTGTGAAATTCTAACGGGAAAAATAACAATATTGTTTGAATTATATTTACTGAGCTCATTTTTTTTTAGTTTATTTAAATTAAATTATCCAGATTCTTCCCAGAGACAGTTAGTTTTTTTTTATTAATCCCGTTATAAGAAGGATTTAATCGTAAATTCAAATTTATAAGGTATTGTAGTCTAATTTAAAGTATTAACGGTTTAGAATTTAACCTCATTTTAAACAATATAATCACATAACCTCACAAAACTCAATTTTTGACAAATTTTATTTTATTACAGATTTACATTTAGCGGCTGAATTAGGAAAAACTTTATTAGAACGCAATAAAGAACTTGAAAATTCGTTGAAGCACCAACAAAACATTATCGAAGATCAATCCCAAGAAATTGAGGTTAGAACGTTAAATTAATTTCATGATTTATTTATAATTTATTTTAATTTCAGTACTTAACCAAACAAACCGTAGCATTAAGAGAAGTAAATGATTCCCGTTTAAGAATTTACGAACAGTTAGAAGTAAATATTCAAGATTTAGAGCGAGCTAATCACCGCTTGGCTGTCGAAAACGCTTCCGATCGAAAGCACATAAAAAGTTTAACTTCAAATATTGAAACATTAGAGACAAAATGCGAACAATTACAAAGCAACATCGACGAGTTAACGCTCCAATTGGAAGTGGAGAGGCGAAAATCTCAACGAACTCAACATTTTATTCAACGTCAAACGTCTTACACTGGATTTACCACGACCACTAATAAAAGAAATGAATTAATTGAAGATGCCACGAAAGGAAATGAATCAGATTCAGAAAATACACGAATAAAAAATGTAATTTTATTTAAAAAAAAAATTTTAAATTAAAATTTGATGTTGAATTTCTTTTATAGGAAGAACGTGTTATTGGAAAATCTGATAAATGTCAAGAAACTCAAACAACGCCAAAAAAAGAGGAGAACAACGAAGAGGGTAAAGAATTGGAACAAATCTCCCAGTTAATGTCTCAATTGAGGGAAAAGGAAACGCAATGTGCTCGGGATCAAAGAAAAATAACGGAAGTTGAGGAGCAATTGGAAATTATGCAGGAACAGAATAAGATTTTAGAGAGGCAATTGAGTCAGTACCACATCAAAGACGAAGAAATTAAGAGTGTTCAAGACGAATTGAGTTCTTTGGAGGAAGTTAGGTGAGTTTAACGTTAAATTTATAAATTAATTAATTCTAATTATCTTCTTTTATCGCAGAATGGGACAACTTTGTAGTAAATGTTTAGGAAACATGAACGGTGACGACAACATGTCATTGAGTGCTTGCGACGATGACGATTCCAGCATGTTTGAAGCATTAAATGAGCGTTCACAATTCCGGACATCTTATTCAATAGACGTCCAGGTGAGAGAGAGACTTCTTGTCCGTAGCTTGGGCTTTTTCAGTTTATTACCGTGCTTTTTGTAATTTTCTTTTTGGTTGTTTGTCTATTTCTTTCCTTTTGGTTTTTGAGGTGCTTTGTACATTTTAGCAAAATAAAATAAAGCTTAAAATAAAAAGAAATTGTGAAGTTATTAAATTTTGGTGTTGAATGTCAAATTATGGGTTACATAACCTATTTTTAAAGTGACGTTTATCATAACCTCAAATTATTAATTTTATTTTCAAAGTGACGTTTATCATAACCTCAAATTATTTATTTTATTAAAAGATTTTGGGGTTTTTAAGATGTTTTTAAAGAATAAATAAGAAATTGTTTGTTTAGCTTTGCTGTTTAAAGAGTGCTTTTAAAGAATATGGCTTAATTAAAAATTATTGATGAAAAAGAAAATATTTAGAATATTTTTGTTGCTATAGACGATAACATTACTAATGTGGATGTTGAGAGGTTTCCAATCTTTATGGCCTGGTCATAGCATTTTTTCCACTTCCGCTTATACTTTTAATAATAATAAAAAAAGGCGCGATAGCTTTAAGCGGTTAGTTGAGAAAGAAGCGATAACAAAGAGACGATTTCAACAATTGTTGTCGTCTGCACAGCCGCAAATTCCTTCTTTAACCGATACTTCAACAGAAGAACTTGTAGACAGCGAAATCACCGTTTTGTGGATGATGCCGGCAACAACGTTTTTATCATTGCTCATAGAATTCTGTTTATACATTAAAGATCGATATTTGATGCCAATTTTAGTTAAATCTTGGAAGTATTCATTCTTATTTGTTCATTTCTTAGTGAAACAAACCAAATAAAATTCATATTTTAAAGGAAAGTGAGGTTAGATTTATATATATTTTTTACACTTGCCATCTAATATAATTTAAGTTTAAAAAACACTTTTAACAGTTTATTTTATACTAAAAGTACAAAGATTTAGAATTTAAAGAAAGAATTACTTTTAAATACAAAATTAGTAGGAAAAGATTCTTTTTATCTATTTTTAAAGTGATAATTTAAGAAAGAAAGGGTTACATCATAATCAAATATCGAATATAATCATTTTTTCATAATTAAATATGAGTATATATCATAATTCACCCATAAAGTACAAAAAATTTTGAGAAATTTCTTTTTGAAGAAAAAGTGAGGTTAGGTTAATTTAGATTTAATAATTTCTGTTATAATTTTAATTTTGTTACAATAAATTTTAATTTTATTCAATTTATTTATTCTTTATCCTTTTTATTTTCGATTAAATTCTTAATAAAAACGAAAATGTAAGTAATCACCTAACCTACAAAAAAAAACTTAAAAAAATCTTTTTCTCTTCTTTTTTAAAGGACTACAACAAATCGTCAACACCAACGAGTCAAGCAAACAGCACATTATACTTAGATTTAGTTCAAAAATACCAAGCTTTATTAGAAGTTCATCGTATCCCGAAGAAACAACCTAACCTATCGTTACAAGAAGAACTCCAAATGTCGGGGGAATTCCAAAATCACCAAAACACGAAAGATACCGATGAAGAAAGTGGAAATTGCGATTGTATGAAACGATCGTCATCACAAAAACAGCGAAAAACACCGTTTTCACGAACAACCCCAACAGATTTTTCAGAAGCCGAAACAAGTTCTTCGGGATTTTGCGATGAAACATTTACAAAAGCAACTCAAACGGACGAAATGAGACTAAAACCTGGATCATTTTTATGTACAATAGGCGATGGAAATGATTGCATTCGTATTTATGACGATACAACATCTCCAATTGAAAGCCGTTTTAGAAATCGACCTGAATATAGGGAGTTATTCAAAGAAATTTTTGGCGTTTTAAATAAAGCATCGAAAAATAAAAGGGATGATGAAGGATTTTTAATTTTAGATGATGATAACGAAGAGAAAGTTTTAAAAGTTCCACCGGTTACACCAAACGTGGAACAACTTCCTGATTTCCCCGATAATTTAACTGATGATACTCAAAGCATCTTTTCATCTTCCAGCCAACAAGAAGAAGTTACTTTAATTGAAAACAACCCGAAATCGGAAGAAAACCAAGTTGACTCAAAACCACAATCGCAAACACAACAAAATGAACCTCAAGAAAGAGTTTTAACACCTTTAATAAGACCACCGTTGGAATCTATAACAGTTCAAGTTAATGTAAGAAAAAGATCTTCCTCTAGAAAGAAGAAACCGTACGCGGAACGTTCTGATTCTCCAGTAACTCATATCGTTGGGTCTCCAAAAGTGACTTTTTCGAATAAATCAAATGGAAGGCGTCGAAGGATGCTGGAAAATAAAGATGTTTGGAAAGGAAATACAGCAATTTTTTATAACAGAAGTATGCAATCTCCGAGTCCAAATCCTGATAGAATCAACGGTGGAACTTACAAATATGAACACGCTTTTGAATTTAAACCAAGTCCTGCATCACAAGAACTACATAAATTAAAAACATTGGAAAGAACATACGCTGATGTTTTAAGGAAAAAGGATAATAACGGACTTTGGAGACGACCCAATTAAAAGTATTCAAAAAAGAAAGAATTAAAAAGAAGCATTTTTTTTGTATATACGGAAAGTATTTTTATTCTTCTTTTTAATTTTTTTGATTTTAATTTGTATAGTATTTGTTTACTTTGTATTTTTTTCTTTTTTTTCCTCTTGTATTTGTGCCAATTTTAATTAATGAAGATGATAAAAATGATTAGAAAAAGAAAAGAAATTTAGCGATAATAATTATTTAAGCTATGTAAGAGATAACATTTAAAAATGATAAAGAAAAATACCTAGTGATTTGATTAAAATGAATACTCTGTAATTTTTATTATTTTATTTGTGAGGATTTATACGATTTTGAACTATATGATATTGAAGAATGTGAATGTTTTTAAAAATAAAGACGCGATTAAAATTAAGAAAGATTTTTGTTTACCTTTTAGCACAGAATTTTTGTAAGAATCTGTAATCAAATTAACTCCGCGATGGTGAACGTCATGTGACAAACTCACCCCATCTAGCGTTAACCACCCATACTAATCTTAGTATTTTTGACATTTAAAAGTTGTGATAACATTTCTTCCTAAATTTATTGAATTTTACGAAAACAAAAGTTAAATTAACCGAAAAAACCATTAAACTATGGTGCTTAACCACAAGCTATTTCTTTAAAGTGTCTAAGTTTTTATTATTAAATGACTTAATAAATTATTGATAGATGGCGCTCATATATTTTTTTATAATTCAAATAAACAAGTGTCAAATTAAAAATCCTGTTTTTTAAGATGAAAAATTACGAAAAGTTTAATATGTTAGAATGTTATATATTAGAAAATAAAGATAATTTTATATAAATTTTTAGTAGTATAATTTTTAGTTATAGTACCGTAATTTACAGGAAACTGTAAATTTAATTTCTTTGACGACACTAAAAAAAAGTTTATTTTTAGCTTTATTCTAAAACAATAAGAAATACAGCACAGTGTAATTAATAATATAAAAATTAAATCATATTTTTTATAGTTATCTCAGAATTAGTGTGGAATTATTGTTTACATTCGAAAAATATAAATTTTAAATAAATTTTTGTATTTTCACACAAAGTAATGGCATTTAAGTTTTTAAATATTATCCTATTATAAAAGGATATTACGTTTTTGTAATTTTCGTTAATGCGGACCTGAATAACTCACGCCAGAGTTTGGGGTTCGTAAACTAGCTGTTTACAATACCGTCTTTGTTTGTTATATGACTGCAATTAAGTCATAAAAACCCCCAGATATATCGGAAGCTATACTAAAAGCACAGAATCAAGGTCCGTTGAGATCTTTACGGTATCCCGCCAAATCTTTACCACCAATAGCAACATACCTCGATAACTCGCTATAATATGGCGTCCTTAAATCTTTTAGGATAAAATTAAAACAATTTTTATATTTATGCATATAACGAATGATTTATATTTATTTTCAAATATATCATATTACAAAATTACTTAAATTTTACATAAAAAGAAACCCTTAAATCATTTTATTGTGGTCTTCTAAAAGCAGCCCCCGCATACTTAGCCATTGGACCCAATTCTTCTTCAATTCTCAAAATTTGGTTATATTTACAAGTTCTTTCCGATCTGCACGGAGCCCCTGTTTTAATTTGACCGGTCGACAACCCAACTACCAAATCAGCAATGATAGTATCTTCGGTTTCTCCGCTTCTATGCGAAACCATAGTACCCCAACCGGCCTCTTTGGCCGCTTGGAACGCATCTAATGATTCGGAAAATGTACCAATTTGATTCACTTTTAGTAACAAACAGTTGCAAGCTTCCCGATCTATAGCCATTTTGATCCTATCTTTATTGGTTACTGTTAAATCATCACCAACGATTTGAATTGAAGTCTCTGCAGTGAAAGCGTTCCAAGCGTCGAAATCGTCTTGGTCAAAAGGATCTTCAATTGAAACAATAGGAAAAGTTTTCAATAAATCTTTGTATAAATCTTTTAGTTTTGCCGAAGGTAAGTATTTGCCTGCATCGGTGGCTTTAGGATTTTTAAAATCCATGTTGTATTTTCCTTTCATGAAAAATTCGGATGCCGCGACATCCATACCAATTTCAACTCTTCCCGTGTAACCAGCTTTAGCTATAGCATCTTTTAAAAGATTCAACACGTCTTTAGGTTGCGCAATATTTGGGGCAAAACCACCTTCATCACCAACAGCAGTTGCATCTAAACCATATTTAGTTTTAATGATGTTTTTCAAATGATGGTAAACCTCCATTCCCATTTGCATAGCTTCCGCAAACGATGAAGCCCCAGTTGGTAGAATCATAAATTCTTGGAACGCTAATTTATTTCCAGCATGAGATCCCCCATTGATGACATTAAAAGCGGGTACAGGCAGAATTAAAGTCTTATTTTTCGCTAAATCCGCAATATGACGATACAAAGGAACACCTCGTTTCCCCGCCCCTGCTTTTAAAACAGCCAAAGAAACCGCCAAAATTGCATTTGCCCCCAATCGGGATTTCTTTTCAGTTCCATCAAGTTGAATTAAAAATTCATCGATATCGCGTTGATTCGTTTCGCAAAAGTTTTCTTTTAATAAAGCAGGGGCGATTTCATCGTTAATATTAGAAATCGCTTTAAATACACTTCTTCCGTGATATTTTCCAGGATCTTCATCGCGAAGTTCCAAAGCTTCATAAATGCCTAAAACAAAAAAGAATTAGGTTAAGTTTTAATTTTAAATTTAAATGTCAATTTTGACGTTTTAAACTGTCAATGTCAATTTGAGGTTAATTTAAATTTAAAGTGTTTTATTTTGATCAAGAAGAAATATAACCTCAAAAATATTTTTTAGATAAGAAATAAAAATATTCTCAAATCTGTTTCTGATAATAAGGTTTCTACCTGTACTGGCTCCTGATGGTACAGCAGCTCTAAAAAGTCCCAATTCAGTAATTAAATCGACCTCAACGGTTGGATTTCCTCGGGAATCAAAAATTTGTCGAGCGAAAATACTTTTGATCGGCATTTTGGTTGAAGAAAAACGACGATCTAAAATCATAAATGAGTGTAAAATCTTTGAAAGTAAACGGTTCCTTTTCAACATATTTAAAAGTGTTAGAAGCGACGTTATTCGTTATTGGGATAGGGCGTAATCGTAAAAATAGAATTCTAATTAAACTTACTTAGGTGAAAACGCACAATACACTCCTTTTCGAACGAGAATCGGATTCAGACCAATTCAGACTGACCGAATTTTGACCTTTTTAAAGTACTCAAGTGACGTTTGAAGGTCTTGTCAATGTCATCTGGAATGTTATTAAAAAAATCAGGATTTCATAAGATTTCGTTTTCGTAAATATTTTTGTAATAAATTGAGAAATTTTTTGACGTTTTAAAACAGCTTTAAAAGTTTCAAACAAGAAATTTCCAAACTTTCAGTATATCTTGTAATAAATTGAAATTGTGGATTTCTTGGATTAGTTATGTAGTTGGGTTACTCAATCATAGATGGCGTTTAAAAAATTGTGATTAAATTTAGTTTAAAACATATTAAAAAAATACTGAATTAATACAAATCTGTTATTAGTTATTTTAAAACGGTTTCATCCACTAAAAATTAGACATTTTTCTCTGCTATATTGAGAAATTTTAGATTATTTTTTTAAGAAATACATTTTTCAGGAATTTTTGAACTTAATTTCGAAAAACGATTTCTTCCAGAACAGAAAAATCAATATATAAATATTTAATCCATTTTGCTGAATCCATTTCTATGAAAACCTTCAAAATTTCTTATTCAAAACAATCTTAGATGAACAACTAAAACCCACCTGGAAAATTGGAAACAATTTCTCAAACTGTTTTATAATTAAACTTCACACTTTGTCGTTTTAGTAAGAAAATTATTGTGTTCGTAGTCAAACAAAGTTCAACATTTGTTGAAATTCTCACAAGTTCATTAAATGTTTGATCCCTTTAAAAACGAATTGTACGGACGAAATGATTTATTTCCTTCATCACATTCACCGAGGGATCATAAATTTAACGAATTTGATAAAATGGAACGTTGGGTTGGAAAAACAGCGATAGTAACGGGCTCAAGTTCTGGAATTGGAGCAGCTATAAGCGAAAAATTTGTCAAACTGGGAATAAACGTCGTCGGATTAGCTCGAAGAATGAATTTACTTGAAAAATTATCTGAGAAAATATCTCAAAACACCAATTTAAACGCAAAGTTTTATCCGTTACAGTGTGATATGTCTAAAGAAGAAAATATTTTGCAAGCTTTTTCATGGATAGAAGATAACGTGGGTCCAATATCAATTATGGTTAATAATGCAGGAGTTTATATGCCAACAACTATTATAAGTAAACTTAAACAAAAAAACAAATTTGAAATAAAACATAGAATATAAATAAAGTTTTTTGATCAATTTTTAGATGGGGATCCTAATTCTTGGCGAATAACCACCGATTTAAATGTTTTAGCTGCTTGTATTTGTACAAAACTAGCTATAAAATCAATGAAATCTCACAATATTGATGATGGTCAGGTTATTAATATTGGAAGTATTTCTGGTTATTATGTTCCATACGTTGATCCGCCTGTTTTAAACATGTATTCATCATCAAAATTCTGCTTAAGATCTGTTACAGAGACTTTAAGAAGAGAATTGCGCTACTACAAATCCAAAATACGAACAACAGTAAGAAAAATTAACAAAAAAAAAGTATTTAAATTCTTTTTCTTTTGTATCTTATCAGTACATCGCCCCAGGTTTAGTGGCTACCGATTTGTTAGCGGTTGATGACTCTTCGGATACTGACGGAATAGTTAGTGATGAAATCCCAATGTTAAAATCAGAAGATGTTGCTGATGTCTGTGCTTTTGTGCTTTCCACACAACCGCATTGTCAAGTAATTCTATAATAATCGTTGTTACTACAAAAATGGGTTTATTATTAATTTTGTTTCATATTTTTAGTTACCTGAAATTGTAATGAGAGTAGTCGGAGAAGAAATTTAAGATTACGTTTAAATTCAAATATCAAATTGTATTTAGTGCTTAGAAACACCATTTTAATAAAGTTACGTGAAATTACTAATAATAAACTGATAATTGAGTAGAAATAACGTTTTTTTGTTCCTCTTTAAAATTTTTGAGGTTATATTTTGTGGGTTAGGCAACCAACAAAGCGTTTTAGTTCAATCCGACATAAACAATCAATAAGCACAGTTTTTCGTTAATTAATTAATATTTAAAAGTAAGAAAAGATTCTCGTTAAGTTTTTTCGAAGAAATGGACGGGTTTTCTTCTAAAAAACCAAAAAATGAAGGTGAGTTACAAAAAAATTTTTTTGAGGTTAAATCCCGGACCACTGTTTTAATTTAAGAATTTTTTATAAAATTATGTTTTTAATCGTATTTACATTGTTTATTCTTCAATTTAACCGATAATTTACTAAATTAATAATAATTGTTAATTAAAAAAAATCTTTATTTATTGCTAACTTCACGCGGATCTTTAAACGTCAAATTTGTCAAATACGCGTGGTTAACCTAAAGTTAAATTATTTTTTAAAGTTAGTGTGTTAAAAAGTGTAATAAAAATGTTACGGAGACAAGCTCGTTTGCGTCGAGAATACCTTTATAGAAAAACCATCGAGGACAAACAAAAAAGTATACAAGATAAAAAGAATCGAATTAAAAAGAGTTTGGAAAATAACACAACCATACATGGTGACCTTCAAAAGAAAGCTCTCCATTATCAGAAAAAGCTCGAATGGGAAGACGAGGGCCCTGAAGCGGCCGTAAAAATCGGCGGTGAAAGTGGCGGTACTTTCGCTAATTCTCAAGACGATGAATACCGTTACGCTGGCGTTGAAGATCCAAAAATTGTTATTACAACATCGAGGGATCCCAGTTCACGATTAAAGCAATTTGTGAAAGAGGTTAGGTTAATTTTTCCAAACGCTCAACGTATGAACAGGGGGAATTACGAGATGAAACAGTTAATCAGTGCTTGTCGCGCGAATGATGTTACTGATTTTATCGTCGTTCATGAACATCGTGGAGTTCCCGATGGTTTAGTTATTTGCCATTTACCTTATGGACCTACAGCGTATTTCAATTTATCGGATGTTGTAATGAGGCATGATATCCCAGATATAGGGACCATGTCCGAACAATATCCACATTTAATTTTCCATAACTTTAAGAGTACTTTGGGTGATAGGGTTACAACTATTTTGAAATATTTGTTCCCTGTGCCTAAGGAAGATTCAAAAAGGGTTATAACATTCGCTAATCATGATGATTACATTAGTTTTCGACATCATACTTATAAAAAGAGGGATAATCAGGTAAGATTTGAGTAAGTTTTGTTGGAGGATGATGTTTTTGTTTGAATTTTAGATTGAATTGGATGAAGTTGGGCCTAGATTTCAGTTAAAACTTTATCAAATCAAATTGGGCACTTTGGATGCTATTGATTCAGCTGATACGGAATGGGTTTTGAGGCCTTTTATGAATACGACGGTGAAAAGGCGATTTTTAAGCGATGCTGATGGATGGGATCAAGAATAAAAATTGATTTTTTTTATATGACTGTTATTTTTAATAATAAAAAAATAAATAAAATTAGTGATTTTTATAATGTTATAATGGTGCAAGGAAAAGTTGATTGTTAGTAAGAGTCAACTCTTACTAAAAGTATCAGTAACAGTTGATTTAAAAAAAAATATCAACTTTTCCTAGGAAAAGTTAACTATGCCTGCTGTGGTTTAGTAAAAGTTGATTCACAAATGCTGCTCTGTGCGCACACTCAAACTTTTTGGAAAATGAAGTTCCTATGGATAAAACAATAGCTGTGAGGACTGTTGCAACTTCACAATCACTTGGAAGTGGACAAGGATTTTTTAAATGCTTTTGCAACACTAAATGCAAATCCATGAAGTGCAAGTGTATGAAGAAAGTGTCACAAATCTTTGCCTTGCTGTAATAAATAGCTTTGTTCATTGGGACTGCACTACTTGCACTAAGCAGTTTGGTGCAGATGTTGTGTGTTCGTTGGGGATAGTGTAGTTTAGTGCAGTTGCACTCATATTGCTCGTTGGACCATGCGCAGTGCAATTTCGTGCAGCTGGTGCAAGTTAGTGCAGATTTTGTTGCACCTGCTTTCGATTAAGTTCAATAGGTGTAACTTAGTGTAACTAAAATGGCGGAATATTTGGAAGCGTGTTTTGTAATAATATTAAGAAATAAAACCTTATAATAATTAATATTTGTTGTATGAGAGAACACAGTACATTTAATCCCAGTAGGGAAAGGATAAGAATTTTATAGTTTTGAAGATGGGCGAATAAAGAAAATAAAAAAATGGATTGGGATGATGCCAAAACAAGATTATTGCTGCATCTCTATAAAGAAAAGAAATCTTCAGTACATTGCATCTCCTCTCCAAGTAGAGTACAGGTGTCCCAATTTCGATGTCCGCATAGGCTATCTCCGAAACTAAAAGAGATAGAAAAAAAGTAGCTTACATGTCATGATCTCGTTTTTCGAGAAAATGCTAATGCCGAAAACTCCGAACAGCTATCGTCTTTTGTTTTCGCCCTATCGGCAAAAACTGAAAATTTTGCAAAAACGACAATCGCGAATATCTCACTTATTATCAAAGATGGAGTATTATAAATAAAACATTATATGGGCAACTTTTTACGAAGAATTCAGTGGCGTAGGTAGAATTTTTTTCCCATCTTTTATTTTCGAGATTTTAGACGTAACTTTATTTTTTTAAATGGAAACCATAGTTGGCTATGACTTAAAATAATTTGTTATTTTCTTCTGATAACAAATATATATAGTTTGTGGGGTATATTTCTTATAGTTATTGAATAATTAACAAAAATTCATTTTGTTCCATCTAAATCTAATGTATGTATTTAAAAGTTAATGTTGCTATGGTGATAACCATACATACTATGATGGAATATAATGTATCAATTTTGTTTGTTCTTTCTAAAACTATTGTATGTATTTAAAACTTAATGTTGTTATGGTGATAACCATACCATGAGGGAAAGCATTGTTTCCAATTATTGCCAAAGTTTGTACCAAGGACAGTAGAATCTAACAGGACTGCTACATCCATTGTTGTGACAACCTGCCCGCAAACTACGTCACACCATTTTCCACGCCCAGCTGTTGTTATGGTCTATGCGTTTGCTGTGTATTTTTAGAGGTTATATCCTAGACGTATTCATATTATTTTTGAAGTTTTATGTTTTTAGACGTATTAATGTCTATCATATAACCTCTAAAAACACAGACAGTTACCAGGCGTGGCAAATAGTGTGACGTAGAGTGCGGGCAACCAACCCGTAGTCGACTACAAAAATACAATGGATGTAGCAGTCCTGTTAGATTCTACTGTCCTTGCTACAAACTTTGGCAATAATTGGAAACAATGCTTTCCCTCATGGTATGGTTATCACCATAACAACATTAAGTTTTAAATACATACAATAGTTTTAGAAAGAACAAAAAAAATTGATACATTATATTCCATCATAGTATGTATGGTTATCACCATAGCAACATTAACTTTTAAATACATACATTAGATTTAGATGGAACAAAATGAATTTTTGTTAATTATTCAATAACTATAAGAAATATACCCCACAAACTATATATATTTGTTATCAGAAGAAAATAACAAATTATTTTAAGTCATAGCCAACTATGGTTTCCATTTAAAAAAATAAAGTTACGTCTAAAATCTCGAAAATAAAAGATGGGAAAAAAATTCTACCTACGCCACTGAATTCTTCGTAAAAAGTTGCCCATATAATGTTTTATTTATAATACTCCATCTTTGATAATAAGTGAGATATTCGCGATTGTCGTTTTCGCAAAATTTTCAGTTTTTGCCGATAGGGCGAAAACAAAAGACGATAGCTGTTCGGAGTTTTCGGCATTAGCATTTTCTCGAAAAACGAGATCATGACATGTAAGCTACTTTTTTTCTATCTCTTTTAGTTTCGGAGATAGCCTATGCGGACATCGAAATTGGGACACCCTGTACAATTGGAAGAGTCTTGAAAGAGGCTATAAAAACAAATTCTTAACATCAAAGAAAACTGGAAGAGGTAGAATATCCTGCCCATACGAAAGGGAATTAGAGGATATTTTAGCAAAGCGTCACTCTATACAACTCATTTGTACCTTAGGGAGCTCGCCAATGGAGAATATCGTTGATATTATTGAAAAAAAGCGAAAACCAGATTGTGCAATAGAAGAATGCATAGAAGATGAACAAATTGAACGTTTCAGTTCCTGAAGCCGAAAGATGCTTTACACCAACAGTAACAGAACCTCCAATCAATTTAACTGACCAAGTGGTGATTCAAGAAATACAAACTCCATCCCATAAGAACATACAGTGCGTTTCAAAAGTAACGGATAAATTCGATAAAATCATTACAAACAATTTATGAAAAAATCGCTGAAACGGGTTTAAAGATTAAAATTTTTTGGTGTATATTTTAAATTTTTTAAACCCAACCCCATTTTTTGTATCGGAATTTGAAACGAGATTTTTTTCTGAATTATATACAATAAATATTAATATCGGTTAGATAAGAAAATTTTCGAGAAAAATTAATTTAAAGTTTCATTATTTCCCATTCATTTAATATAGAAAATAGCAGTAGCAGTGCGTAACCATGGCAACCAATTGTTTTGATTTGACATTTCAAAGTGTCAAAATTCAAGGCTGATTAATTGAATTTCTTCTTTAATTTTTTGCATCTTCCATGTGCGGCTGAGTTCCCAACCGTCTTCTCTATTCATGTTATTCCCATGTCGATGAATTTCTATCGCCTCTCTCGTCAATCTTTGGAAGTAATGTCCGTTTCTTGTTAGCACTTTGGTTTTGTCGAACTCTATGCTGTGTCCTGCTGTGTGGCAATGCTCTGCGACTGCAGATTGTTGGATCTTCCTTAGTCGGACGTCCCTCTCATGTTCCTTGATGCTGCACTCGATGTTGTGTCCAGTCTCGCGCTTCCTTTAATGGGGTTAGTTTGTCTTTGGCTTTCGGAAGAGCGTTTTGTATTTTGCCGTACCGTACCGTATCGTACCACGATATTATTCTTCTTCAGACGCCTCGCAATTCGCTCTGTCACACCTGAAATATAAGGAAGGCAGATAAAACCGGCTGATGTCGTACTTACCGAGTCATCATTCTGCAGCACATCTTCTAGGATCCTCTCTGCTCGCTGGAATAAGGCTTGAATCACGGACCTCTTCTGTTGTGGGTGGTGGTGGGATGTAGCCTGCAAATACCTATTCGTATGCGTCTTCTTTCGATATACTCCCAGTTTCATGCCCCCATCTGTCTTCCTAGTGACTAACACATCCAGGAATGGCAACTGTTTTGCAGTGTCTGTTTCCATGGTAAATTTTATCATGGGGTGCTGTGAATTGAGGTGGTCTAGAAATTCCTGGAGTTGCTCTTTTCCATGTTGCCAGATCACGAAAGTGTCATCGACGCAACGGAGCCATAGCGTCGTTTTCCAAAGACTCTTCTTTAACGCTTCCTCTTCAAACATCTCCATGTAAAAATTGGCTATCACAGCAGACAGGTGATCCCATGGCTGCCCCTTCGCATATACTACACACTTTTCTAACCTGCAACCGTGCACTTACACTTAACTGCACTATGACGTCATATTAGTGCTATGTCGTGCAGAGTAGGGAAGTCCCAACGAACAAAGCTAATGTCTACTAATAAAGGTTTTGTCTTTTTATGTGTTTTTTGTTAGCTAGTCCTTGTAAAAAGTCAACTTTTACTACCTCAGGATAGTGAGAGTATACTTTCCTTAGGTATACTCAACTCTGACTAGTAAATGTTGATCAAAATTCAACACTTGAAAGAGCAGTAATAATCGATTTTACCCAGGCAGAGTCAACTTTTACTACAGAATCGACTTTCCCTGTAACATGATATATACATCATCCCAATCCAAGTCTACCCCAAAAAATATTTTCTTCTAAACGATAAAATAATCTTAAAAATTTTAGATTTGGAAGTAACTGGAGTTTCAAGAAGTGGAAGAGTTCGTAAAAAATCCTCAAAATTAATGGATTTTGAATCTCCAGATGAAATCGATAAAAATTTTAAACGACAACAAATACAAAGGAAACAAGAATCCCATGATTTTCAAGCGCGTCAACAAAAAGAGAAAGTTTTTGTGTCTCCGAAAGAAGAATCAATGCCGGAAGAAAATGTTTCAATGGAATACGACGATTCGTTCATGCAAGATTCTGGTTCGGAATTTGATGCGTCTCAATTCGAAGGTCGAACCGAATCGAGTGAGGAATCTGCTGATTCCGATAGCGACTATGACAACGAAGAGACCGCAACGGGTTTTCGACGGTTAGACGAGGGTCCCACAGGTCAAAGTTTGTATTCGGACAAAAAAAAGAAAAAACGACTCATTATAAGAGACGGTAAAATTGTAGGTCGGAAAGGACAAAAAGGTGGGTAAAAAAGGATTTTTTATGGAAATGAACTAACCCCCAAAAAATAATTATTCAGTACTCAATTGCTAAAAAAGGGCCAGGTATTATTGTCTCAAAACTATTTTAATTCTTTAGTAGTCTTGGTTGTAGATAGACGATTTATTAAATTATTTTTCCTTGCTTCTTTATAAACTCTAAACTAAAATTAAAAAATTAAGAATAACAAATTTTTCTAGGTAAATCCGATCAATTACAATCTGGGGCAAAAGGTAAACCCAGTACAACAAAAAAATCTCCTCAAAAATCACCGCCTGCCCCTCTAGCATCTTTTCAGCTTGGTTTACCCACAGTGGGGCACTCAACGGCATCGCCTCCAAGCCCAAAAGGTAAAGACTCTTCAGGAAAAGCAATTGGAATTAAACCCATCGACGTCGCAGCTCATTTGAAACTACTTGGCGAAAATTTAACTTTAATTGGAGTACGATTGATGGAACATGATGTAAATAACTTTAAATACTATAAAAAAAGAAAAAATGTAAATTCAATTTGCGTTTTAGGGACAAATTGCTGTTTCTGGGAGTTTATCGGTTCTATTGGACTCATTGGTTTGCTGTTTGGGGCCTTTGTTGTGCTTAACCCAACTTATTCCTGAGTTACAAGAAGGATGTATTACTCCAGAAGAACATTTAACCAATTTGGATCATGTTGCTTATATTATGCCTGGTTGTTAATTTAGAAAATTATGTAAAAAATGTATGAAAATATATCATTTTCTTAAATTTGAAATGTTTTCTTTAAACATTAGACCTAGAACTAGAAACATTTGGGATTATTTGCGGTTATGAATGTAAACTGAATTCCCTGATTAAAGCGGGAAAAAGTCAAGAATCATCATGTGGCTTAAAAATCGACGATTTTTTTTTAATTACCTTAAAACACGTAACAAATAAAAAAAAAAGTACGGAAAAGTGTAAAACTTACCGAAAAATCACTTTTTTCGTATGATTTAAGCATAAATTAATTAATTTTCGTAAAGAAAACGACGTTTTATAAAATTGACATTCAATTTTGACAAATTGTTGTGAAGTTGGTTACAGTTAGTAACATTGAATTTGTGTCACATTGACGTTTAAACTTTATTCAAAAATTTATTTAAATAATAAATTTATGGAATCAATTTCAATAACACTACTTCCAGAGAAGAAAATTGAAGTTTTTTATATATTATTATATCCACATCTCAAATTGTCACATTGACAACTAGAAAAATTAATGACGTAACGTCACCAACTTCAACTGGATCCATAAAATGTTACTAAAATGTCATTACAGCATCGGATGCTGTATTGACACAGCACCCGTTTGAGTATAATAGAACTCTGAGCAATTTCTCTTATTTCGGGATGAAACATATTTTTCATGTGAATACATTTTGTGTTTTGACAATTCTAATTGTGAATTCAAATTTCTATTTTCAAGTGTTACGGTGTTGCCAACTGCTACATACCTATTTCCCTACATTGTCAAAATTTATTATGTTTTTTTTTAAACAAAAAGGATAAAAACGCGAATTAGAAAAAATAGCATAAAAAATACGTTTCGTAAGACTTAAAGCACTCTTTAAAGACTTTCCTTGATTATAAGTTACAAATTTTGTCATTTTATTTTCCACCAAATTAAACTAAAATAGTTAAACGCAAATTAAATACAAAAAAAGTTTGGACATTTATTATCACAGAGTATACATCGCATAAACTAATACAAAAGATTCCACAGACAAAAGAAAAAAACAAGTAATTAAACGTATTTCAAAAAACAGCAATGTAATATCTAAAACAAAATTTTAATTCATCATTTTTGTGTTAAACATTAAGTTTGTTACCTTCTAAAAGTTGATTCAAACAATGAAAATCCCCAAAAATTATTTATTTATTTAAATTTCATGTTAGATTCAACAAATAAAAGGTAAAATTCATATAATAAAAAGAAAATAACTCGCCTTAACTTATTAAAAATGATTTCAATCAGGACACATTGATGGTGGTAAAGTGCAACAAGCTCTTCCGGAAGGTTTCATCCCTGGGGGATGGTTAAAGCAATGAGCTCTACATGGAGCTTCATATAAACAAGGTCCCCCGGGAGGTTTCCAATGCTTACATCCGGGTCGTGTACAACACTCCGGAGGCGGTAAAAGATTAGGTACACTTATATCTTTCTTACCTCCCGGCGGACATGGCATAACCTGTGCTCTCCAAACACCGATCGGATTACAACATGGTGGCGGGCATAATCTCATTTGACAAGGTTTAAACCCGGTTGGACACCCACTATCGTAATGAGTTCTCGGCTCTATTTTGATTTTTTTGTAATCAGCACACGGTCTCTTCCCATCTCTACCGCAAGGGCCTTCGTGTCCTGTTCTCGGTGGAGTTCCCTTTTCATCAGACATAGCTTGTTGATGATAATCAACGTTGAAGTTGTTATAGAAATTATCGTAACGACTGCCTGGGTTGGTTTCTCGTTCTTTTTGGGCCATTTGCTGAATTTAAAGTTAAATACATATATTAATATTAGTTAGATTTATTATTTATATAATAAAATATAATTTGTTGAATAAAAAGAAAATGAAAATTTAAGACGTTCTATTTTTGATATAAATAAGATACAGGATATGAATTATTCAAAAAACAAACTTTAAACTTAACTTATTAGTATTATAATTTTTTTTTTTTGAGATATTGTTGTGTTATAAAGAGTCAATAAGCTTCCTCAATTCTATCAAGATCTACAACAATAATGTTTTATTCTAAACATATTTGTACAAATCAATTAAGACCACATTCTTAATTGATCTGTTATAAATATAATTAATTAAGTGAATACAAACCTCTGGTGTTGGTGGCTGTCCTTTTAGACAGGGCATACATAATGGTTTAACTGGTTGTGGTACTGTGGGTAATGGTCCATGTGGAGGACAGGAAAAGCACACTTGAGCAAATGGTCTCTTGGTAAAATCATCATCTTCTTTATCGTTATTGGAGTTGCCATTCGGTGGACAACAAGGTGGACACGGTCCACATGGTGGTGCAGGACAGCAAGGACCACAACTAAAAGCATAAATTATTGTAACAAATAAATATAAAATTAAAAAAATGAGAAAATACCAATCGTCGATTGCATCTACAAGCGTTTTTAGCTGACCGAGAAGACTCGCTCTGTTCGGCATCGTGATCCTGTTGTGACAGCCAATTTAAACAAAACTAATAATTTTAATAGAAATTATAATTTTTGGGGCCGAAAAATGATATTAAAAAACGTGAATTTTGAAAGGTTGTTTAGGATTTTGTTTTAAACATTTTTGTAAATATATAAATAATATCTATGGTAACTATAAATTTTTTATTTTATAATGCACATTATAATGTATACTATATAAAATATATGGGAAAGCTACGAACGTTATTTCTGAAGCTTCCACATTACACGTCGTGGTCGTGGTGTTGGTTGTGCAGCAATGAAGAATTTCTGCGTTGTCGTGAATAATTCTTTTTAGCGAGTTGCTGGTACACTCTCTGCGAATTTCTGCGAAGTCACACGTGTAGGCCTGAATTGCCTTTAACGCGGCTCGACTGTCTGTGAAAATGTTTATGGATGCACCTTTCTGTCCCTTCTGTAGGTTCAAAGCGGCGCAGAAGTTTATAGCAAGAACTTCTGCTTGGATAATTGTTATGTCCGAGCTGAGGGGCAGTTTAATGTGGCTATTTGGTCCATTGATGCCCATACCAACTCCGGATCTAACTGTCTTTGAAGCATCGATGTACCAGGTTAGGACTCCTCTTTTTTAGTTGAGACCCTCCCTTCGCCCAATGATCCCTGCTTCTAAATATGACCTTATACGGCTGGTTGAAATTGTATTCTGTCGATATAAGGTCCATTTTAATTTCAATCAGGTGATTTAGACATGGGTACTTGAGGACCCGTTATGTTAAGACATGCTAACCGCTGGATTTGTGCCAGTTGTTGTTGTGCTGTCTTATGTTTTGTTTTTGGCCATGGATCTGAACATGGGTCTGATTATTGCTACGTAGGCCCAATGAGTCATTCGTGGTTTGAGACCCCAGTTCCTTCGTAGGAAATTGACCTATCCTAACATTCCTTCACGCTATAATTAGGGTTTCAAAACAAAGCTGACCTGTCCTAACATTCTTTCACGGTTTAATTAGAGTTTCTTCACGCTTTAATTGGAGTTTAAAAAAGAAAATTACTTGTCTTAACATTCCTTCACGCTATAATTAGGGTTCAAAACAAAACCGACCTATCCTAACATTCCTTCACGCTTTAATTAGGGTTTCTTCACGCTTTAATTGGAGTTTAAAAAAGAAAAGTACCTGTCTTAACATTCCTTCACGCTATAATTAGGGTTCAAAACAAAACTGACCTATCCTAACATTCCTTCACGCTTTAATTGGAGTTGCAAAAGAAAACCGACATTCCTTTACGCTATAATTATGGTTTCAAAACAAAACTAACCTAACCTAACATTCTTTCCCCTGGATGATTAACATTTCAAAAGAAAACTAACTTTGCAACATTCCCGGGAGGATGGTTGACATTTGTAAACAAAACTAACCTTATCCAAAATTCTACCTGAAACTCATATTGCCACAGATATTGCAGTGCTTCGGCCTCAAGCGGCTTTGGTAATTGACGCCGGAATATCGAAGACCAGCATTTTAAGAATATTAAAGCGCAATAAGTATCACCTATACCACATTTCATTGCATCAACAGCTAATAGAGGTGATTTTGAAAATCAATTAATATTTTGTCAATGGGCACAAGAACGAATGCTAGGATGAGTCTACTTTCACAAACAAAGGACAAGTCAATAACCATAACATGCACTATTGGAGCGTTGAAAATCCGAGATGGTTGCGTCAAGTAGAACATCAACGACCTTGGTCGGTTAATGTTTGGTGTGGCATAATTGGTGATAAATTATGCGAGAAGTACCGGAATTTTTTAGATGACGTCTTACCAACGTTACTTGTGCAACAGGGAAGAAAGACAAAATATGTGGCTGCAAAATGATAGTTGTCCAGCACATTTTTCACATATTGGAAGGGGAGGTCCAATTTACTAGCCTGTCATATCACTTGATTTAACACCTTTTGATTTTTTTTGTGGGGCGTCCTTAAGGATAATGTTTATCCGACTACGCCAGAAAACATGAAAGAGCAGATAAGAAATGCATGCAGAAATAGTAGCCAAGAAAACCTTTTAAGATGTAAGAAAGTTTTAAGGGAAGGATTAATAAATGTATTGAAGTGAGTGGGGAAATATTTGAACATTTATTATACATTTGATACTTGTTGTTAATTAATAGTGTAGTTTAATCATTTTTTTTATAAATAAACAATATTTAAAACTATTTGAATAAAAAAATATTTAAATTTTGTCTACAAAAGATGATATTTTTTAATTATTTTACTTTTATCCATAGATGCAGATTTTGCAATCAAAAACATAGGGTATCATTTAAAAAATTGGCCGTGACCTTCACATGACCTTGAAAATAAGGTCAAAGTCAAAAAATTCTATCGTTTTATGGTTTCCCCCTTCACACAGAACCAAGGTTTATATATTAAAGGTTGTCTAAGTTCCTATGCTGCAATACTTTGATTTTAGTTTGTGGGCGAGGGGCAAGAGCAGGAGTGTTTCGTGACGTAAGCGATCACGGATTGCGCACGCAACCTCATGGCCATGTGGTGCTCCATGTCTTTGTTTAATTTGAATTGCTTAGCGATATTATTTTCCACATGTGACGTAATGCGCAGTATGGTTGCGTACGAACCTAGACAACCTCTTATATATAAACCTTGACACATAACAACTTTCATTAGGTAAAATGATTTTTATGTAAAATGAACCATTTTCGAGATTTGTTAAATGTTAAATTGTTAAATGTTAATGTCTCACGTTAAATGGACCATCCTGTATACACAGTGACAACGATAGAGTAAAATTTCACATTCATACAACAAAAACGAACACAGTTCCAGTTTTTTGTGACAACCTGTATTGGGGCTGTTGACGAAAAACATATCAAAATCTCACCGAAGTGCAGCTTTCTTCTGGAATTATAAGCACTTTCACAATCTGGTTTTGACGGCATAAAATAGGTACTAATGGAAGAGTTTTGGATAAGAAATATTCCATTTTATAACCAATTGATCTCTAACATTCCTCCTGTAGAGCCAGTTTATGAGTCAACATTTAGATTTCTCTCTGTGTTGGTAGGAGATGAAAGCCTGATTTTATGAAACCATTCTATTCTTTAGGGCTCGAAGAGTGGTTGAAAACATCTTAGGTACCGTTGTAGAACTTTAAGACAAAAATGATTATCCTTCTTGTTATTATTAATGATATAATTCTAACAATCAATAATAAACAAATCAATGTCGAATCACATTTAATAACTTCAAAATAAAAAATTACATACTTAAAAATCCCCTTTTTACATTAATATTCAACAAAAATAACATTTCTTATTCTTTTTTTCACGTTTCAGATAAACATAAATTCATACATTTTCATTAAAGTTTGCATGGAAGATAACCCTAGAAAAAAAATAAATAAAAATGTTATAAAAAAAATCTATAGATGTAATTTTTATTATTTACCTTTGGTGGATAGGGTGGTGGACAAATGGGACACGTCGGTATACAGGGTGGTATTACGGGATAAATTATGTTTAAGACAGGCTCAGGGCAACACTGTACTGGAATGGGATCCAAAGGGCACACTGGTGGTGGTGGACCAGGACAAACAGGGATGGGGATCATTGAACAGATACGAGCACCAGGTGGTGCCAAAACTGGCGGTGGTTCGGGTTGGCAACATGGTTCGTAATGCGACATTTTTTTATTTGTATTTTTATTTTAACTTTAAAAATTTAACTTTAAATTTTGAGATGTCAAAAAGAAAATTAATGTCAAATGTGTTTATTTACATAATATTTTTGTTTTACTATTTCATTTCAAAGGAGGCTATAAATATAGAAAAATATAATTCGATCAAAGTACTTTGGAAAAACAAAATTTAAAAAGATCCCTGGGTAATAACAACAAAATTATTTAGTTTTTTTCGCACCTTCCTTTAAGAAACACGCGTATCTTTTGCTCTCTCGACTTTTTTAAATTATTTCAAAATTTTCTGGTTTACCTTACGGTCCTTACCTCACTAATCTTATTGAAGATGTCTTGCCCACCACCAAAGCCAGCCCCTTGCTGCGTTCCTTGCGTACCGTGTTGCGCCCCTTGCCCACCCTGTTGCCCACCGTGCTGTCCACCAGGTTGTCCACCGTGTTGCCCGCCAGCATGTCCCTCTCCACCACCGGTTTGCGTTTATGTACCATGCTGTTCTCCTTGCTGTGCCCCATGTTGTCCACCACCTTGCCCACCAAAGGTAAGAACTAACTTATTTTAGAAAAAATATTGTTAATCTATATTTCGTCTTTTAGTGTTGATTGTAGGAAGAGATTAAGTGGAAGTCCGATAAAAGAAATGGTTTGCAGGATATTGATGATAAAAAGGGGTTTTGATAATTACTCATGAACATGATAGAGGTGAAGACTACGAAGAAATTAATGAATAACACGGATGATTTAAGTGAGGCTATGATTTGCAAACTATTATAAAAATGATAAAAAAATTAAATAAATCTGTATAAATATATTTATGTTGTTTTTCTAACAATTTGCAAAATATTTCAATGCCATTTTTTGATATGGGTTGACTTGTTTTGAAGTTGGGTTGCTTTCCCAATAAACTTGATAGACATAAAAAAAATAAACTTGATAGACATTTCAGACATAACCTCAATATAAGAAAGCTGTCATTTCTGTTAATATTTTATTTTTTGATGGCTTCATTATTCAACACTTTGTCAGTCATAGGTAATGCGTGTCATTACCCGTCAAAAATCAATTGTATAACGAATAGATAATTCAATAGTTGTAGATAAACTTACTTATTGTATTAAAAACAACAAAATTACAAAACTAGAAACAAATTTCAAAATAAAGCCTGCTCAGTACTCAAACCTGTGAACCCGTAACTTTATGGTATCATATCTTAAGAAGAACAAAGAATGGGACATTGTGTTATAAGAATTTTTTATTCAGAAAGGGGAGACCTATAACCCTTCAAATTTTTTCTACTCATACCTGATACAGCCTGTATATAACTATATAATTTTATATGATTGCAGGAGAAAAACAGCCAAATTTAGCGGGAATCGCGATCATACCTTATAAGTTATGGTTTGACCTACGGAAAACGTAAAATTCTTTATCTACGACTGCTTGGATAAGTCATCATTACCGCACTCGTTTGAGGTGATTTGAGTTACGTAATGAAGTTCATTATCGCACTGGTTTCATTACGTAACGCATTTTTAGCCTAATCAGAACAGACTTAATTTATTGAAACGAGCAACAATACAAAAGAAAAAGTGCTATCTACCTACAGAGAAACAATACTATTTATTATAAACATTAATTGTTATGTTTTTACATTGCAAAACACTTATTCCAGATGAGTAAACATGTTGTTGAAACTGCCAATTCAAAATTGTCAACAATCATTTCAAAATATTTTTATAAATGTCAAATAGATTTTTCTATTTATTCTATCTATTTATTATTTATTTATTATATTTATTCTATCTATGGGAGGAGATGAGGAGGAAAGGGATTACTGGTGGGACAATAAACAGGGTGAGGGAGATATACGCAGAGACGATAGCTAGGGTAAAGGTGGGGGACGAGTTAACGGATAGGTTCTGGACAACGAGGGGTTTGAGGCAGGGATGTCCACTCAGTCCCGCTCTGTTTGCCTTGTATACCGCAGACATGGAAGACAGATTGACCGGTGGGCAGATGGGAGGTGTGGTTGTAGGGAGGAGGAAGGTGCATTCACTGGCTTACGCGGACGATTTGGTGGTAGTGGCGAGAGAGGCGAAGGAGATGAAGGCGATGATGCGGAGTTTGGAGAGTTACTTTAGGGGGAAGGCTCTGGAGGTGAATGTAGGAAAGACAAAGGTTATGAAGTTCTGTAAAGGGGGTAGAAGGAAGAGCGAAGATTGGAGGTGGGAAGGGAAGGAGATAGAGGAGGTGAGGGAGTACACATATTTGGGGTACAGATTTAGAGAGGACAACAAGGAAGGCGCGCATGTGAGGGCAATGGCAAAGAAGGCGAATAAGGTGATGGGGCAGGTCTGGGGGTGGGGAGAGAGATTATTTGGAAGGGATATGGGAAAAAGGAAGATGATATTCGAGTGCTTGATTAGAAGTGTTATGATGTACGGGGCGGAGCTTTGGGGGTGGAAAGAGCAAGGGCTGTTGGAAGGCGTACAGGCTAGGTATTGGAGATGGGTTTTGGGGTTGGCAAAANAAACAATACTATTTATTATAAACATTAATTGTTATGTTTTTACATTGCAAAACACTTATTCCAGATGAGTAAACATGTTGTTGAAACTGCCAATTCAAAATTGTCAACAATCATTTCAAAATATTTTTATAAATGTCAAATAGATTTTTCTAAAGAAATTGATTTTTTAGTAATTTTTAGCAGTCGTAGATAAAATGCTGTATATCACACGTGGGCTAGAGCATAATTATGTTTCTAACCGACTTGTAATATAAATAACTATTACATACTTTCTTTAAATAGTGTTCATTAGCCGTATTTTCATTAACTAAATCTAGTGGTGATATATAAAAGAACTTATACAAAACTTGCGCCATTCTAAACCAATATTCAAACGATTCGAACTGAGAACAGAAGAAAACATACAATAGAACAAGACGCTGACCGCGTCACCGCGATGTAGATATTCCAGACATGTTTCAGACACATTTGTAGAGAAATGTTTCAAATAAAATGTTTCTGCTACATATTTTAATGATATTTCATAAATATTCCTACTGAAATGTATTTGATACATATCATTAGATACGTTCTGTAGAAAGCGTACCTGTCACATATATGAAACGTAGTTCTAAGATGTTTCATTTAATTCACTGTACGTTAAAATTGAAATGTTTCCCAGATGTTTCTTGTTTACTGGGCAGTTATGCTTTTATTAGATTAGTTTCTTTAGCTTTCTAGTTGGGTTATATTCCAGTTGGATCGATTTCGGCAGTATAGTTTCGGCATAAGGCATAACGTTCTTTTTATTGCAAGAGTTAATACTATTAAGTAATTTTTATCTAGAAACTGAAATCGGTTGTGCACATTTAATTACGAAACTCGTCCTTTGCCTGCATTAAAGTGCAGAAAAAAGTTGTACGCAACTCATCTCCCACCATCACTAAGTTAATGTGTGCTATATTGACTACTTGAGTCCATACAACTAAATAGTTAAGTGTTAAAGCTCTAATAAAAGTAGTCCTCAAGTTATAATTTATAACTTTTTCCTCAAAAACATCATTATTAAAAAAATATTCGATTTTTTCACTTAAAGTATAAATCGTTTTTTTACCAAGTTTCTTTTTTAATGATTTTGGTGAATTACGTGATTATTATCACCCAATTTCTCCGCATCGCTGGACGAAAAGAAAAAGTGAAAGTTTTGGCCGAGTTGCGATGGACACAAACAACGTGGGATTTTAAATCCGCACAAGTTGTTTTGCACTCCACAATCAAGTTGAATAAAAATTGAAAATGTTTAAACAACGTTTAATTAAATTAATAATTTTATTAATTATTTTTATAAATTGCTGTGGACACAGAGTAAGAGATCGACCTGGTATGCGGTTCCGACAAAGATTATCTGGCATTGGAAGAAATAGAACTCGCAATATCGGAAAAGTTTGTTACGGTATTTATTTTTTTTATTTATTTATCGTTGATTTAAGTAAATTTATTTATTTGTAGATTTTGTCGGTTGTTTCGAATTGCCTCATCCAAGGTCTCCTCTACAAAGATCACCTCAAGATCCGAACGTTTTAAACACTAAATTTTATCTCTTCAATAAAAAAATCCAATTTTCACAACCGAACATTTTGTATTTAAATGATAATCAAAAATCGATTTATGACTCCAAATTCGATTATAAAAATCCATTAAAAGTTTTAATACACGGTTACATGGGGATATGGAACAACTTAAATAGTTTAAACGCAACTGATGCTTATTTAAAATTGGTAAAATAAATATTATTGTATTTTAAATTAAATCAGTTAAAATTTTTTTAGTATGATTGTAATGTGATTATAATGGACTGGTCGAATGGCGCAAAAGGACCTCAATACGCAACAGCAGCAGCTAATACTGAAATTGTTGGTCGACAATTAGGAATTTTATTAAACGACTTAATAACAAGTGGTTTAACGCCAAAAGCGATACATTTAATTGGGTTTTCATTGGGTGCTCACGTAGCCGGATGCGCTTCCGAATATTTAAAAAATAAAAATATCCTAATCGGTCGTATAACCGGATTAGATGCTGCTGGACCATTGTTTAGGTTAAACAATTTAAGGGAAAAATCGAAAAAATTAGATCGAGATGATGCTATATTTGTAGATGCTTTACACACTGATTCGAGCCCAGTAACACGTTTAATTTTTTTTTGTTTAAAAATAATAAAACGTTTTTTTTTTCAGGTTTTTGTAGATGGTTTTGGTTTATGGGAGCCAATAGGACATGTGGATTTCTTTGCTAATGGTGGTCAAGACCAACCCGGGTGTACTGATAGGCATCCGTCAATAGTTGTTACACATTTTGGTAAAGAAAAAATAATATCAAATCTAGAGCATACAGTGTGTTAATTAATTATCGTATCCGACATCATCATTGCAAGTATGCAACCAATATCACAGTGCAATACGCATCATACGCAAATCGCGTATTGCACTGTGATATTGGTTGCATACTTGCAATGATGACGTCGGGTACGATAATTAATTAACACACTGTGCTTAATCTTCTGGCTCTTTACTTCTGACATTTTCGCATGAGCGACAATACTTTTAATAAGTTGTTGTCAATGGTAAAACCGTTTATTGAAAGGCAAAACATAAATATGAGAATGCGTATAACAGCTGAAGCAAAAGACTTCGTCCAAGGTTTGTAGAACATAAGGTTACCTAATTCCCTATGCCTCTGTAGTATCGATTATTACCCCGCAGATTGACGTCACTGGTTCGATACAGTCAGAATAAAAGGTAGCCTATACGTGCCTATACTGTGGTACAGTCTATATAAAATATTTAAACCTCGCATCGTGTTGTGTTGTTCATAGAACCAGCTACGTCACTGACCCACCTTGCCTCTCAGAGGAGGAGAATCGGTATTGGGTAACCTTATGTTCTATAGACCTTGGACTTCGTCTGAAAAGATGGCTTCTTGGAAAAGATGTTCGAAACCGACCTAGAGGGATATCTTGATAAGAAGATAAAGAGATAAAGATAAACCCAGCTCATATTTTCAACTATCTGTTCTGCTATATAAAAATATATTTCCATAGAAACCAGAGCATACCTACTTACTTTGTCCCAAGGACAGTAGAATCTAACAGGACTGCTACATCCATTGTTATGACAACCTGTCCGCAAACTACGTCATCCATTTGCTACGCCCAGCTCTATCCGTTTGCTGTGGTTTTAGAGGTTATATCGTAGACGTATTCATATTATTTTTGAAGTTTTATTTTTTTAGACGTATTAATGTCTATCATGTAACCTCTAAATCTCTAAAAACACACAGCAAACGCATAGTACTGAATGACAGTTAACAGGGCGTGGCAAATAGTGTGACGTAGAGTGCGGGCAACCAACCCGTAGTGGGCTACAAAAATACAATGCATGTAGCAGTCCTGTTAGATTCTACTGTCCTTGACTTTGTCCCACATAAAATGCAATATGTCAAGTTTTAATATGTTAGTTTTAATTGTTATGCAGCGCTAGACCAAGAACTAGAATCATTCTAGTTTAGCCGTCTTTAGAGACGTGCGGCTAAACCCAAATGGTTCTTGTTCTACGTATAGTGTTAGATCTAGGTACATAGTAACAGTGCTAGTGTAAAACTAGAACTAACACTAGACCTGGAACTAGAATCGTTCGGGATTAGCCGTCTTTAGAGAGGTGCGGCTAAACCCAAATGATTCTAGTTCTAGGTATAGTGTTAGTTCTAGTTTTACACTAGCACTGTTACTATGGGTTTAGCTGTCTTTAAACACGTTTAGAGTCTTTAGAAAGTTATCATAAGGACATCACCTTTTCCAAGCAAAACTTTACCTTTGCAAAACTATCTGATACCTGTACTATTAAGTTATGTTGCATTTTATGTGGGTGCATAGCAGTTTCGTAACTATGGTTACAGCATACATATACAGGGTGTTTTAAAACAACGTTTAAATACTTTGTAATATTAGAGGAAGAAAGGGACACCCGCCACCAATGTAACGGGCGCTGCCGCCAACGTAATGTAGATGGGAAAGAACACCACCGCCACCAATGTAATGTAGGCGGAGGGAAGGAACACCGCCACCAACGTTATGCGGACGGGAAAAGATAGAAGTACGGTAGCGTGTACTTACAGAAAAAGAGAAAAAATTATAGAAGATTTATTTATTTAGTTACGTACTTGGCCGAACGGTTTAAGAAGTTAATGAGTAAAAAGAGGGAGGATCGTAGCCCTTGTGTTGAAATTGAAATAATACGAAACAAGAATTTATACAAAAAAATATTAATATATTAAATTAAGGAAATTAAAATATATAAAAAAATAGAAAAATAAATCAACCAAAAAAAATTAAGTTAAAATATTAAAGAAAAAAGAAAACTAATTGAACAAATTTTGGATAACGGAACATTAATTATGGATACAAATACTAGTGATGGTTATGAGTTTCAAGAACAATAGTAATTAATTAGGCTTACTTATTCTACGCAACGACGACGCTCTTCCACCAGGATTCGGACGCTTCAGGAACTGGCTTCAAGGCACAATTTCGATCTGAGGATTCGATTTCTTTAGCAAATTACCCAGCACAAACCACCAGCGTATTTAGAAGCCTTTCCGAATTTAGTATTGAGAATTTAAATTAAAAATAAAATGAAATGGAGCGAACTCAAGGGGAAGACTGTAGCTTCTATCTACCTTGGTAGTTGGTACTCGACTCCCCGAGTCGAACTCGGTGGCGCATCAACGCCTCACGCGATAAAGCTGACTTAAGCAAAATAATTATACAAAACGCAATTTAATATACAGGATGGTTTGTTACAACTTATAGGGGTAGTACTACACTCGAAAACGTTTTCGAGATACAGGATGTTCAAATTTTTTGGGATTCTACCTTTTTTCTTTTAAACTATAACTACTACAGATTCGTAAAAACTACGGGTTATTTGAAAAAAACTGTATCGATGTTGCTGGTCGACATTTTGAACATCTTCAGTAAAACGCTTCGTATTGATGATGCTTATAAACTTGTAAGTTTTATGAAACTTATAAAAACTAAAAGTATTAGTATTACATTGTGTCAATTCAACTTTTCTATACTTTACTTTAAAAAAATTTTTTTTTCTCTGAAATCTTATGGATTACAAAATTTTTTTCTAATTAATGTTGTTTAGAATTAAGCTATCTAACCAATTGTTAAATCAAATTTTTGAATTTTCTGAAAAATAGTGGTATTTATTTTCATTTCTGGTCCAACTGGAAGCAATGGAAACATCATACTACTCACAAAAAAGAGACAGTTTCATATTGTATCGATTTGCCAAGTATCAAATCTGTAGTAGTTATAGTTTGAAAGAAAAAACGTAGAGTTCCAAAAAAATTTAACATCCTGTATCTGGAGAACGGTTGATTTTCGGATCCATGTTTATTAACACTTTTCGACTGTTGTAGTACTCCTATAAATATTTAAACGTTGTTTTTAAACACCCTGTATTGCGAGTTATATGAAATTCCCGGTATTCTTAGGCTATTTCTGGGCGACGATGGCAAAAATTAAGACATTATTGTCTCAATCCACAAAATCGTCAGCTTCCGAAGATTCTAGACAACAAGTGACCGATTTGAGGATAATTGTTTCCATACAGGAGACTTTGTATCTTTACCAATACTTCTGGAACAGTAGCTTTTCCATTTTTTTGGAGTCATAAGGCTTGTTTATCTTCTTGTTTTGTAAAATTTTCTTACATTTTTCTCATTTTTGAGAAATTACCCTCACTTAAAAGTCTATTAATATAAAAGATTTCCAATAGAAATATACAGGGTGTGTCAAATATCTGGAATATAGCCAATAACTGCGTCATTTGTGGTTTTAAATATAAAATTCTTTATTAATTGTGGCGTATTTTTTGGCGTAATTTACTTGTTTACATTGTTTTTGTTTCGTTGCTATGGCAACCAATGTTGTTATTTTAAATAGGATGCAAATGTTTTTTTTTCGCATATTTTGATAGAAAATAAACCCCTCTACGCGATGAACATATGAAATCATATGGTTGTATAAGAAAAAATTGAGAACAAATGCGTTCTCTGAAAATGTTAAATCAGCAAATTACAATCAAAGTAAAAATAACGCCGTTGACAGCTTTAAATGTCAAAAAATTGACAGTTTAAACACCCATACCATATGATTTGATATGTTCATCGCAAAGAAGGATTTGTCCTATATCAAAATATGCTAAAAAAACCATATGCATCCCATTTAAAATAACAATTTTGGTTGCCATAGCAACGAAATAAAAAACAATACAAACAAGCAAATATCGCCAAAAAATGCGCTACGAATAATGTAAAAACTTGTATTTGAAACATTTTTCTTTAAAACCACAAATGGCGAAGTTATTGGCTATTCAGGCCAGACATTTTACACACCCTGTATACAGGATGTCTCACGTAACTGGTTCGTTAGAACTTTTTCAGGTTCCACTATTCGTAGAGATTTGAAATTTTCGTAGCATGGATTGTTCATTCGGAACTTTCGATCTAAAATATTTTCAAGATGGCCGCCACTTCCGGTCTACCGGAAGTAGACCATAACTTCGCTATTTTAAATGGAATGCTATAGTTTTTATTACACAGTTTAATTGTACGTAAAAAAATAGGTTGACTTTGATAAAAGTTATTGGTACCTAGCGTTTTTTGTTTTCGAGTTATTTTGGTTTTAAACTTTTTTTGGTAAATTTCAACATGCTCTTTAAAACTCCATATCTCAGCCAAAGTTCATTCAAAAAAGATCTACTTTGGCACGATTACTCTTCAGATGTTGTCAAATAGATTGCCATTTGTTGTATCGGAGTATCTTATACAGGGTGGTCAAAAATTGAATTACTGTTTCTCCATATTCAATGGCGAGAAAGTCGAAAATTTTAAATGGAACGCCCCATATTTTTTTAGGCTATCAGGAAGAGAATCTAATTCTCTACAAATTACCTATACACATTCCCATACCTATTTATTGTAGTTTGCCTCATATTGCGATATTTATTAAAACATGCACGAAATGCAGGTTTTTTTATTAGAAAGCTATGGAATGTTGACAGTTTTTGGTCCATGTTTGTATTATTGTTGCCATTAGTTACATTTGACGACGGGTGTAAGTTATTGAACATCATGGTAAATTATTCCAACGCCGATATTTGAAATTTATTTTGTATTGATGGCGAATGTAATAAACTTTCGGACAAGACGTGTCGAACACTTAATGAGAGATGCCTAACAAACCTAACGCCCATCACAAGGAAAAATTTCAAAAAATTGATAAAGAATTTATTAGTTCTGGATATATCGAGACCAAAAGAAATCGCATATTTCCGGTCACCAGTGATGAAGACAACGAAATAAATAATTTAACGTATTTTATTGCATTTCCAAATTCAATTTAATAACAAATTTATATTATAAATTTATATTTTTATTCAAATCTAATTTTTGTCATTAACTTTTTGTTTTAATAGTTTCATTTATTTGATCTTCTGTTTGTTATTTTTGGTAAGTAAAAGCTAGTAAACTAAAAGATTATCAATCGTAGTTAATAGTACAAATAATAATAGAAATAAATTAAACAAAAAACTGTCAAAATGTCATGGCCTTCTAATAAAAATACAAACGGTTTCCTGCATTTTCTGCATGTTTTGATAAATTTACGAATATGAGAGAAACTACAATAAATAAGTATAGGAATGTTTATAGATAAATTGTAGAGAATTAAATTCCCTTTCGTGTAGGCTAATAAAATATGGGGCGTTCCATTTAAAATTTTCGACTTTCTCCCCATTGAATATGGAGAAACGGTAATTCAATTTTTGACCATCCTGTATAAGATACTCTGATACAATATATGACAATCTATTTGAGAGCATCTGAAGAGTAATCGTGCCAATTTAGAGCTTTTTTGAATGAACGTTGGCTGGGATATAGGGTTTTAAAGTGCATGGTGAAATTTGCCAAAAAAACCTTAAAATCAAAATAACTCGAAAACGAAAAACGCTAGGTACCAAAAACTTTTATGAAAGTCAACATATTTTTTTACGTACAATTAAAAGGTGCAATAAAAACTATAGCATTCCATTTGAAATAACGAAGTTATGGTCTACTTCCGGTAGACCAGAAGTGGCGGCCATCTTGAAAATATTTTAGATCGAATGTTCCGAATGAACAACCCATGCTACCAAAATTTCAAATCTCTACGAATAGTGGAACCTGAAAAAGTTCTAACGAACCAGTTACGTGAGACAGCCTGTATATTTTTAGATAAAACTTTAACTTCCGACACGGCTTGTAGCCATGCAAGAGCTTTCACATTATTCCTTGAAACTCTAAACTCAAAATTGCAACATTCTGACTGCAAATTTATTTCGTACGATTGTCCCGGAGGTCTTCCATCGTTTGAAAAAGGACAATGTTTTCCCCGATTACAAAATCCCAACGATCCATTAGCCATCGATCCGATTTATAGAGACGATTTGGGTGAATTTGGCGAAAACGCCAAAGGAAATGGAGTTATGTACTTTGCAACGAGGGATTCGTATCCTTTTTGTGGGAGTCAAATACAAATTTATGTCAAATTATCGCCGAAAACACCCCAAACGTTGGGAAAATTAATCGTTGAACTGAATTATGATAACGATCGGCCAAATTTTGAAATAAATTGCGAGTAATGTCTATACAGATACTTTTTAAAACAAAATAAAAATCTTTTCCTTTTAGATTAACTGATTTAGTAACGAGGAACATCGTTTTAAACAAAATTAGCGCTACTAAATACAAGTCATTAAACCCGGATTTAAAAAAAATGCAAGTTAATTTAAAATATTTCCATTTCGAATTCGAAACGATAAATGAAACATTAAAATATTCCAATGAAATTATCGTTCAAGATGTTGGAGTTTTAGATATGTTTGGAAATAAGTTTGTTTAATTTAGAACTTAATTTAATTTCGAATTAATATTTTTTTGTAGATGGCGATATTTTGGAAATGAAGTAAAAATTGATAAACCTGAAGGAGAGGTTATGTTGCTAAAAAAGGATAAATGAAAATGCCCAAAGATTAAAGAAATATTTTATTTTTGCATAAAGAAGGAGGAGATTAATTAAATCCAAAGACGAAAAATTTATGACATCCCAAAAGAAAATTTTGATAAAAATATAAATTTTTAATCCCACAAAAAAGAAACCTAACTTTTTGTATATCGCTTCTCGACCTAACCTCAACAAAAATTAACACAAAACACACTCTTTATGTAGTAAAAAATTCTCATCAACTTAAAAATTCTCCATATCAAAGAAACCTTAAAAATTACCTAACTGTAAATTTTTGGCCCCCATCTACTTCCATCATTTCATAATCCGACGAATGACCATTCTGATTATTATCACCTGGTATATGACCAGATTGCAATAATTTCTGTAATCGTTCCACTTCTTCTAAAGAACTAGCCTTTGTAATAGCCTCTCGGATTTTGCTAACTTGTTGTGCAGAAAGTCCTAAACAAATTTTAAATTAATAAATTATCATTATTTTTTTAATATTAATAAACAACCTTTATTTTTAATAGTAGTACCAGACAAATTACCGCCCGGAACAAAAGTTTTTGCCCTTTTAGATATTTCATTTTGAATTTCCCGCCCTTTTTTACTTTTAAACAAAGCCTTAGCTTCCTCTCGTTCTTTCAATTTAATCTTACGAAAATCCAACAGTTTAATTTGCGGTAATTTATAAATCACATAAAACCTATAATGAGGTTTAGCCGTTATCGGGTTATGTAACAAACTCAAACTATTTAAATTTTGTAATGGAATTAACGGATCAACATCGCCTAATTCTTCAATGTGATTGCCAGTAAGAACAAGCGACTCTAAATTAGGGATGTGTTCTTCTAAACCTTCCCCAATACGACTGAAAAATAAGTTTATAAAAATATTAGTTTTTTTTTTATTTTAATGGAACTTACACAATACGATTATTGTTCATTAATAGACATTTTAATCGTTTTAAATATGGAAATCCATCCAATTTGCGGATATCGTTTTCGGAGAAATCGATCGTGTCGAATTGATCACCGGTAGCCCCTAAATTCTCAATTTCCGGGATTTTATATCCTAAAATAATGTGATTGAGGTTAAGTTTTTCTAACATAACCTATAAGAAAGTGACGCTTACCTCGTAAATTTAATTCACGATCTTTTACCGGATTTATATACTGCCATGAGTTTTGTATTAATTCCGCAGTTAGTTTTACCATTTTTTAAGAAATACTTTTAGAATCGTTTAAAGATAATTTAAAAACACATTTGTTTGGTTTTGATAGATTGACATTGACAGAATGTTTTTTTTTGTATTCCCCCAAACATTTCTTTAGGGTTTTTTTTTTATTTTTCCTTAATAATAAAAATAAATTATACGATAATTTTTTATTAAGTTGAGATATTACAAATAGTTTTAATTTCTATTTTAATGTTATCATCTTAGATTGGCAAATAATAATAGCATATTTTAGTTTTAATTATTTTTCTATAACTAACTTCATATGTAAACATAAAGTGACAGGAATCTGCAAGTTTCACATTTCAAAACCCGCAATTTCTTCATTCAATTACTTTAAAAGGTAAGCTTAATTCAGTACTTGTTATAGCGATTAAATTCAGAGAAACTTTATATTACATAAATAACACTCCGTGTTTTTCCTCTAAAGCTGACTTATTTTTCGAATTATAAGTTCCAAATTAACATCAATAAATAACCATTAATTCATCTCTAAAAACACAAAACACGTAACTAATTTGAATACTATCTTGTATATTGCTTTGTTTGTTGTTTACATATCTCTTTATTTCATCTTAAAAAGTTTAGAAAACACCATAAATTATATCGTTGAGGTTGGAATAAAAACGCAATAACGAAGTCCAAGCAAGTTTGGAACCCTTTCCTGCAGTTTAATTTTATTATTTTTAAAATTCCTTTTTGGGCGAAACACTTTGTGGAAACTTTTTTATGCTTTTTACACTGGGTGAGTGCCCCAGACAGGTTTCTTGTAATTCCAGTGGGGAAGTACCCGTTAAAAAGAAAAGAAAGAATTCGAGATGAAAAGATCAACAACAAGTTCACTAACATCTGTGGCTAGCCCTTTATTTCTACTGCATTATTTTTTTAAATCTGATGTAATAACCAAAATGGTTAGCGTAAAGTGTTGAAAGTTGGATGATTAGGCGTTTAAAAATGTCTATTAACTAAAATAGTGGTACAAAGGTGAAATTATCTTCTTTTTTTCGACAGATTCTTGTTCACCTTGAAGGCTGCCGTTTATTCAAGGTCATCGCGAAAGAAAAATCGCAAGAAGGTACCGATGCTTTCGAAGAGATGAAATGGATTTATGGGATTAAGGTCAAACGGGAATGGACTTGTTAATACGTGAGTTTTTTTTTAATTGAAATTATAAATATTAACAAATAAATATATGTATGTCGTTTAACGATAATTGACGCCAGTCGTTTCATATTTTCTATTAGTGAGGGCGATAATGAACGTGTTTTGTTGATATTTCTACATATTTCCGGTAAAAACTTTTTTTATTTAAAAATAATTATATTATGGTAACAATCAAAATAACTAAGTAAATAAGAAACATGTTTTGCTAAAAGAGGAAGTATTCTAATTTGCATTATTTGCTCTAATTTTAATAATTTGTTTTTGTTATGTGCAATAAATTGCGTTAAAAATTGTTATGAAAATGATTAACATGTTGTAAAATCAAAATATTTTAATACATCCAATTATTTTAAGTATCATTATAGTTTATTGGAAATGATTAAATCTCTAGAAGTATCTGCCATTTGATTTCTAGCCATGCTGGTATGGTCTTGAACTCAAATCAGCTAAACTCTGTGGACGGTAATTTTATATTAATATTACAATTTTGATTAACTTGATGTAGTTCTTATTATATACACCGCAACCCAAACAATAAAGGCTGCGTTAACAGGTAACATGTTCTATTTTGTGTAACTGGGATATAAGAAGGACTAGTCTCCAAATCCTATAACCGATATGACAGATATAGTTGGTATTTTGCTTATTTGCTACCCCTGTATCTTTAATGACAATTAAAATATTAGACATATTTGTGATTTATTTCAGGATTTTAAGTTTTTTTGCGATTGACGTTCTTTATACAACAAATTATATTTGGAGTGAGATCTAAAATAAATTGGAATAAAAACGACCCCGTAAGAAATGATACTCCAGAAAGGGACGAAAACTAAAATAACAACCGGTCTTTATGTTTGCACAAGAATAAAAGATTGACGTTTGTTTTTTTTTTGTGTAGATATAATTCACGATGAGTCGCTAATAATCCCGACCAGCTTTCTTGAAAATATGATAGCCTGAACAGAATTGACCGGTTTGTTTAGAGTGGGGTCTCGCAATCGAAACGAAGCCTGGTCTTGACATAGCCATGATGTCAATAGCGGCCTCATTCGGATTTGTAATGTTTTATGATTTTTCAAATATTTTTTCTTTGATTGATCAAATAGATTAATTGATATAGGATTTAGGTATTACGATCGTTTCGTGTACGTACACGTTTTGAGGCACGACGTCAAAATTGTAGAGAAGAAAATGTTGAAATATAAAAGTCGTAATATTAATCGATTTCATTATAAAAAATTACCTGTTTAAAAGACCAATGTGACTTTGTTCCCTGTAATTGCACCAACTCCGTCAGTTGCAACATTTACATATTTATTACCTCGAGTTGTTTCGATAAGAACTGTTATATGATTTTTTGTTTATCCTTCTTGACAGATTCTATTTTCTTGTCCGTAAAATCTAATATGATTAAATCCTTGCGGATTAAATTCTGATATTCTGTTTATTACTATTGTATAAGCTTACAATAGAATACATATCGGGAATTCAAATTCTAGCACTGCACCATAGGTACAGAAGTTTTATTCTCTGATGGTAGTCAAAACAAGTGCCAAAATAAAAAATCAGGTACCAAGACGTCGCAAGTGTGTTAAAAACAGCAAAAACACCAAAATCTAACTGGACAGATAGTGATAAAAGTGTTACGTAGTGTAAGAGAGAGAACTGACTGCAGATAAAGGTAATTTCACCGTGGTGATGGACAGAAAGGTATACGAGGACAAGATGAACATTCTATTGGATCCAGACACTTGCAGGAAAATTAAGAAGGATTCCATCAATAAATTATATCCTAGATATAAGTTATGTTCTAGAAGTTGTAGTGTTCTTGAACTCTTGTTCTGAAGTCTTGAAAAACTCATGGCGAAACCTAAATGTTTCTAGTCCTAGGTTAAATATTAGTTATAATGTTAATGCTAAATAGTTTTAGTTCAATTATAATTATATATGCAGAACTAGTAAAGAGATCTTTTCTGCGACGATGCAGAGCTTGTATAAACAATTTAAGCATTTGCTTTAATTATAAGAAAATAATGCAATAAAATTACTAATAAATAAATTAATAATTCCTTTTGTTCCATTTTGTTTTTAGGTTAACCTTATTTGAAACAGTCCTTTTGCAAGACATAAAGGCAACCATCTTGTTAAAATTACATTTTGTAGTGCGTAAATATTCAGTGGCACATCTTCTAACAAAGTTAAGAGGAAATAAAGAGTAAATACAAATAGCATACGAAAGTATGAATTTTTTAAATAACGTGTCCTTTGCAGAAAAACAGGCAATAATATATTTTATGAAAAAAAAAAGTGACAAGTGTTGTACCATTTTGGAAACTTGACTAAACAGACCAGCTTTTAAAATAACTTGCCAAGGCTGTTGTATTACTCCTTTTCTTAGAAATCGTGTGTCAAACTTAATAGATATAAATTCTTTCAACCTTAACTCAATCAAACTAATATAGATATAGGTTGGCCTCTCGCCCGGTACCCGCTTGACGTTGAGTTTCGGGATACCCTGTATATAAAGGGTTTTCCAATAACAGGTGTTATTTTGATATTCAAAGAAAAATGCCATTTTTTAGTATAAATGATCGGATGTTTATTTCATTATAAAGAAGAAGGTATGCCGTTAATAGTGGAAAATAACATTAGGCAAATGACCACCACGACCCCGCTTACAGGACAATATCCTTTCCATGAAATTTTCCATAACCAAATTGCAAAGTGGCTGCCCTATGTCCTCAATAGCCTCACGAATTCCATCTTTGAGGTCTTGAATCGACGCTGGACTGTTGGCGTACACCTTCTCTTTCACGTGGCCCCAAAGGAAGAAGTCGCAAGGTGTTAAATCACAAGATCTCGGTGGCCAATTGTGATCACCTCTTCGAGAGATAACACGGTCCGGAAACTTTTCCCGTAAAAGATCAATGGTTTCGTTGCTTGTGTGGCACGTAGCACCGTCTTGTTGAAAGTAAACGTTGTCCACATCAATACCATCCAATTCCGGCTATAAAAAATCATTAATCATCTCTCGATAGCGCAATCCATTCACCGTAACTGTTGCTCCAGCCTCATTTTCGAAAAAGTAAGGTCCAATGACTCCGCCGGACCATAAACCGCACCAAACAGTCACACGTTGAAGATAGAGAGGCTTTTCAACAATAACTCTTGGGTTTTCCGAGCCCCAGATGCGACAATTTTGCTTGTTGACGAAGCCACCGAGGTGAAAATGGGCCTCATCACTCAAGATGATTTTTCGATGGAATTCCGGATCATTTTCATGCATTTCAACGACCCAATCAGCAAAGACACGACGTTGTTGATGATCGGACGGCTTGAGTTCTTGTGTTAACTGAAGTTTATAAGCCTTAAGACCCAAATCTTTATGCAAAATACGGTGTAATGACGTTTGTGGAATGCCTAATTCCAAAGAACGACGAGGAATGGTTTTGTTCAACACTTTCGGCTACAGCAGCAATATTCTCGGCTGTTCTTGAGCGACGTGCACGGGTTTTATCCTTCACATCACTAACTTGTCCCAACAGCTCGAATTTTTCCACCAATTTCTGTATTGCGGTTCGACAAGGTGCTTCACGACGACCCAAAAATATTCGAGTTTTACGAACCGTCTCTGCCAAAATTTCACCATTTTTATAGTCAATTTTAATAATTTCAATGCGTTGTTGAAGCGTGTATCGTTCCATTTTTATTAATGGCGTGCTTTCTACTTGTCAAATGTCAAAAAATGACAGCTTCAAAAGTGACATCTACCGAAATAACGGACTATTCAAAATAACACCTCTTATTGGAAAATCCTATATAATACTATAATTTGATAATTAGTATCAACTAATTATAATTAGTTATACAGGGTGTTTCGGTGACTCCTGTTTTCTTTTCTGTGTTTTGTCAAACTTTCTATAATAATATCAAGAAATGAGTTGTACTTAACCTGAAAGCTAACGCCCTATTTTGAAAGATAAATTATAATAACTCCCTCCAGCAACAAACTTAATAAAGTTATAAACTAAATAGTAATCTAAGACATTTCATGATAGTTTAATAAATGTATAACTGAACTTGGTGAATGTTTGCTATTGTAACTTCTCATTTCTAATTGCTATCGGTCTTAAATTCTTGAAGTTTATGATAATTGTTCCTGTTGATTTATTTAGTAATATCCGAATTGAGTCAAATTAGATTTAATAGCGAAATAACTGAATTGAGGATTAATTTCGTATAATTGGTAAAGGTTATTATCGATTTAAAAATCAAATAAATCAAAAACAAAGGATATATCGGCGATTAATGATAATTATTTAAACGGTTTAAAATTTAAATTGACGCAAGTTGAATATTAAAAATTCGAAACTTTTTAATACTGTTTTTTTTTACTTAATTCTGAGGCTGTTTGTTTGTGGAAAATTCTTATTGTGCAAAAGTTAATACGAAAATAGAATTTGTTTTAATGAGTAGCGCAGGTAAAGTTGAGTGTCGTTATTATCTCTGCCGTTTTAGAACTATATAGCAGCGTGCGGTGCGGCGATTCTTTTCTGGTGGGGTTGTATATAAAGGTTATCGAGTAAGTGGAAGAAATCGGCAGTTGCAAGACACGTCGAGTCGATTTACCCGATATAATACACTGCACATTAAACATCTTTTAATACAAGACGAAGTCAATATTAGTAAAAAATCGGAAATTAAATTTAAACAGAAAAATTTTTTTTCATTAAAATTTTGTGATTTTTATTTGTTAGTTTTGAATTATTTCTTTGTTGTGACCAAAAAAATTGTTTAACAAGGTAAGTTTTGTTGATTTTATTAAGTTATTTTTGGAAGAATTAATTAATACTTAATTATTTTTTTATATACATCAAATTTGCAAAAATAAATTATTTTTACTTTGTTTATGAAGAAAATTATTTAATAATACATTATTATTTATAAAGTATTATGTTTGAATACTTGTAATGAATTGAATT